AAAAAAAAAAAAAAAAAAGAATGCCAGTGCAAAGGTCATGGGGCAGAAGTAAGGCAGTGTGGCCAGAATGGAATGAATGAATGAGGGGAGGTGGATGAGATGCCAGGGAGCATTGTAGGTTGCTGGGAGGTCTTGAGTTTTTACCAAGTCTGACAAGAAGAGCGTTCCAAGCACTAGTAAGGCTCCAATGCAGGACCATGCCTGGCATGTTGGCAACATAGTGAAGAGACCCATTTGACTGGAGCACAGTAGGAAGAGGAGAAAAAGAGGAGGGGAGAGAAAGGAGGGGATGGGATAGGTGGTGTAGGGCTTGGTGGGCTCCAGGGAGGACTTCACCTTTGACCAGCCCCTAAGGAAGGCGGGAGCCATGGAGGGCTGTGAGCAGAGGAGGGACAGGCTCTGACTCAGGTGCTCACTGGCGCCCTCATGTGGCTACTGCAGGGAAGACAGCCTGTGGGGCACCAGGGCACAAGCCTGAGGGTACAAGGGACTGGACCAGAGGTGGCAGGAATAGAAAGGTCAGTGAGTGGTTGGGCATGGTGGCTCATGCCTGTAATCCTAGCACTCTGGGAGGCCAAGGTGTGTAGACTGTCTGAACTCACAGGTTGGAGACCAGCCTGAGAAAGAGCTAGAGCTGGTTTCTAAAAATAGCTGGGCATTGTGGCGGGCACCTGTAGCCCAGCTACTCAGGAGGCTAAGATAAGAGAATCGCTTGAGACCAAGAGTTTGAGGTTGCTGTGGGATGTGGTGCCACGGCACTCTACCAAGGACGACAAGTGAGACACTGTCTCAAAAAAAAAAAAGAAAAGAAAAAAGAAAGGTCAGTAAGTGACTGACCCCAGGAGGCCAAGAGAGGTCCCAAATCAGGAAGTCCAGGGAGGGTTCCTGACATCTGCAGGCTATACTCACCCAGCTCAGCATCCGTCATGGGCAGATGGTTGTCCACCCACTCTTCTGACTTGCCCAGCACCGTGTTGACCCCACTCAACACCATCTGGCCCACACTGGAACCCATGATGGAGTGGACACCGCTGGTCACCACAGACTTGGTCCTGTCCACACCACTCTGCACAGCACCTCGGGTCATGTCCACTGCCTCTGTCATTCGAGTGGCTACTGTGTCTTTGGCGCTGGACACCGTGTTGGACATCATCTCTTGGGCCCCCAATACCTTGGATGACACAAGTTCCTTGGTATCTGCTAGGACCTAAGAGATTGGACAGTATCAGAATCTCCATCCTCTGCTGTACTTGGGCACCCCCTCCCTTGTACCCCAACTTCCAAGAAGGCTGAAAGGGGGACTGACTCTTGGGTGACTTAGTCTGGAATTTTGGTCATGACTTTTTTTTTTGAGACAGAGCCTCAAGCTGTCCCCCTGGGCAGAGTGCCGTGGCATTACAGCTCACAGCAACCTCCAACTCCTGGGCTCAAGCGAGTC